CAATAGCTCCTATTTTTAATAAATTCTGAATTTCTTGATCTATCACTTCAGATTCTACTGAGTTAAACACAGGTTCATACAAACTACATTTTGTTGGAGCTGCATTATCTACAAATTCTATTTTGCAATTTTCAAGTGTCTGTAATATATTTTTATCTGATGTAATTTTTTCCCATTCTTTGGAAAAATATGTCAATCTACCTGCATAAAATTCAACATTTTACTCGCTAACCTCATCATTTATTGAGTCTTGCGTCCTCTCATTCTCCCTCGGAATGATCCTCCTCTGTCAGCTTATTACCAATCTTGCTACAATCTTCAATTTCTTTTGCAGTTTTTGAGATATCATCGCCAAATAACCATGACGTGTAAGGTACAGTCTGTGCACACAAATGCAAGTACTCGTATCTTATTTCTGGTTTTATAAGCTCACGTCTTGTCATATTTACTTGTTTGTTTGCATGTCCAAATAGAGCTAAATTGTCTTTGCATTCATCTATAATTTTTCCCAATTTCGTTTTCTGTGTATCATCTAATTCATTTTCCACATTTGCCAACTTGTTCACAATTTTGGCCAGGATGACAGAACCTTTAATAACAGAAGTTTCTATGTTTTGCATTTTCCTATCAATGGTTTTAGCTTCTTGAGATATAATATCCCAAACGAGTTGGTTTGTCTTCACAACTTTCAGACCTTCACAGTTTTCTGGTCTTGCATTATTTTCATCTTTAATCATATCTGAATATTGATCTTCATTCATTCCATTTCTAAACAAATCTGTTATATTTGTAGCCAAAGTCTCATCTATTTTCACATCACACACTTCTCTGCTTTTAAATCTTTTACTCATGTTCTTAAAACGACTTGAATTTTCTTGAACAACTTCTGTGTCCAAATGATCACTATTCCTTTTCCCAGAAGCATTATCTGAATTTTCAACATTATCATCTGTACGCTGAACATTACTACAACTCTCGTCGTATGTCTGATCATCATCGTAACCTTCATAATCATCACATTCTTGAAATTCGTTTTCTATCATATTGATCTTATTGTTCAATGAACCGATCTGTTCATCTTGTTTTTTCTGATTTTCAAGAATTGTATTCAGTATACACATAATTTGATTATCGTTTTGTGTACTACCGCTTATATGGACATCGACCACAACTTTCACAGGTTTTTTCGTTCCGCTGGATCTTGTACCTGTAGCGCTTACCGTACTACCGACAGAACTACCATGTTTCTTAGTCTTTGTTCCCTGAGCCTCAACTTTAGAGTTCTTTTTAGTAACATCGTTACTTTTACATGTTTCTATGTCTACTTCTTCTTCAAAGCAAGCAGTACTCCGTAATTGTTTCTTTTGAATCAACTGTTCCGCCATTTTTACGACTTTATCATAAAGTAGTCGAACTACCGCTTTATGGTAGTCGTAAACACAAATTAGAACTCCCTGAGTTTTGTAGATAATAGTCGTAAAAAACAAAACTCCTCGAGTTTTGTAATTAAGTATATCTTATCAATGTGTCAAACGAAAAAATAGCTAACAATGTTAACTTAGACACGAACTGAAGTTGCTAATTGAAGGGCCACGTCCTTCTTCATTCATAACTCGTACCACACTGAGGTTGCACATGCGTACTACTATCTCACATAATTCCGGAAGTAATTATGACGAAATAGAATTTCTTTGGGACCCTTAACAAGTTTTACAGCAGCTTTAATGAAGCGTTTCATTTCACTCGCGTTTATTGATTCTTTACCATTCATTTTTAATTCAATGTCCCGAATAGCACTTGTTTTCCAGCTTTTCACAATGAAAATATGTGACGAAAGGTGGTCACGTAAAATGTTTTAAATTCATTAAAGATTCATTGAGTGAATGTCAAGCATAATGTGTTATGTTTTCTACGTTGTATGTCATAGAGTTCAGGACATTATTTATTGAACAGCCCTCGTTGTCTAGCTTCAAAGTCATGAAGTCTCAATGTTTTATTGATTCTACTTTACTCTGAGATTTAAATTCTCGTGTAAGTTACGTATGTACGCACAGTCATGTATTCCATCAAGGCATATACAAGTATGCTGTATTTTTGAAACATGATCAAGTAAACTTATCCTGGTGTACATTTTTCAGTGTTTTTGTCAATGATCGAGATATGTTTGTTTAAGTTTGTGATGACATTTTCTATTTCAATTACAAAACAGAATTGGCCCACGAGTTTCGAGTATAGGTAAACATTTCCTCTAATAAGAAATTGTGGTGTCTTTATTATGGCGAACGTTGGGAAGCGACGCTCAATAATAGACTTTCGAGTAAGAATAGAGGAAATTCGGAATGAAATCTGTACATACTTCAGGTAGCCTGTTCTCCCGTCTCATCCTTGCCAAGTGACGCGGAGTGTATGAAGCTATACAAGGACATGGAACCAGACTAATACGTCAGGCAAATTTTTGTGTGAAACCTTCCCAGAATTCCTTGGATAACAGGATTCAATGTGATAATGGCGAATAAATAGATAACATAGAAAACAAAAGGCTTTCAGTTTATAGAAATCTTTAAAAAAGCAACAAGAAAATACTCAATAAAGTCTTTCGTCAAAAATTACACTGGGTCTATAGTTTTAAGAGGACGCCTGGCTGTCTCCGTAAGCTCCTGTCAGCTACTTTACGTTATGTGACCTCAAAGCTAGCCAAGATCTCTCGTGCGATTTGATGTTCAAGAAGTAACTGATCAATATTTCAAGCGTGCTTTTGTTGTATAACTACGCTCGCCCCAACGGTCACGCAGTAAAACATATTATGAGTGAAAAATCCTGGACAGGAACTTCAGAAAACAACACTGATGCCCCCGTGGTAAAACAGTGAAGATTAAACTTTTCTTAAATGCAAATTTAATACATTGGTACCTAAAGTAGGGTATTCTCACTGGAAATACAATTGAAAACTATGAATGTAGGTCAAGGTTAAAGTTTTTTTCATAAGTACGGAAAACACCAAGGTCAAAAGGTCAAGGTAATTGGTATCCAATGAAAGATCTTGCCACAAAGAATGCATATGTGAAGCCCAAGCCCTTACCCTTCATTACAAAGGTTATAACCAAGGTTAATTTTTTTCAAAAGTAGGTCAAACTCCAAGGTCAAAGGATCAAAATTCTTGATATCAAATGAAAGGTCTTGTCACAAGGATTACATATGAAAAGTATTAACGCACTAGCACTAGCCCTAACCCTTCAAAAGTTATGGTCAAGGTTTACCTTTTAAAAGTAGGTCAAACTCCAAGGTCAAGGTCAAGGTCAAAGGGTAAAAGTTATTGGTATCCAATGAAGGGTCTTCTCATTAGGATTACATATTTGAAGTATGAGAGCACTAGTCATTAAAATTCAAAAGTTAGGGCCAAGGTTAAAGTTTTTTCTTTAGTACAGAAATCTCCAAGGTCAAAGTTAAAAGGTCAAGGTAATTTGGCATCCAATCAAAGGTCTTGCCACAAAGAATACATATGTGAAGTATAAAAGCCCTAGCCCTAACCAGGAAAGCAGTAGTCCTTACCCTTCAAAAGTTATGGTCAAGGTTTGCCCTTTAAAAATAGGTCAAAATCCAAGGTCGAGGTCAAAGGGTAAAAGTTATATATTGGTATCCAATGAAGGGTCATCTCACAAAGATTACATATATGAAGTATAAAAGCACTAGCCCTTACGGTTCAAAAGTTAAGTCCAAGGTTTTTTTTTTTCACTAGTACGGAAATCTCCAAGGTCAAAAGGTCAAGTTGTTGGTATCCAATGAAATGTCTTTCCACAAAGAATACATATATGAAGTATAAAAGTCCTGGTATCTACTGTTCAAAAGATACGGCCAAAGTAAAAAATTGGAATTTTTGTTTGAAAGTGGGTCAAACTCCAAGGTCAATAGGTCAAATTTGGTGGTACCCAAGGAAAGGTCTTGTCACAAGGAATACACATATGAAATATGAAAATCATAGCTTCATTAAATCAAAAGTTATGGGCAAGGTTAAAGTTTTTACGGACAAACAGACAGCAGACGGACAGCTAGACAGACGGACGGACATGATAAAAACTACATGTATATACCCCGAAACTTCGTTAACGGGGGCATAACTTACACAGGTCGAGACCACTACCTTATATGGAAGGCAACTTTCAACATGTGACGATATCTTCGTCACACCCGTTCGCCAGTCAAGTAAATGAGTCCGAAAGCATGACACTCTACTACGTGTTTACGATTCAATGGCGACACGTGGTTTTCTTCGGTTTCTGCATAATATTCACGTCGTCACCGGAAAAACCGTAGAGCTTCTTTGTCACTTTTTAAGTTCGAAGTTGAAAGATTACCTTCCCAAGACATTGCTCCATGCTCACATTTAATATTGGTGTTGTTTTATACGATTAATAATTGCTTCGAAAGTTCGAATAATGTGCAAACGCTTTGATGTTTGCATGTACATTAAAAAGTTTTTGATAATATTTAGGGGTTAAATAATAATAGCGCACCTTGTGCTGCTGTCTAAAACTATGTACACGTATATCACGTGAAAAAAACTCAATGCTTTATAATCGACACGACAGCACCTATATGTACGTCTCTTCGAACAATGGTTTAGGCCGATGCATTATATATAAGTTGATACATAAGGCTTTATAAAGCAAATTTTGTAAATGTGAGCTAAGAAATTAAAGTTTATACATCATTTTATATATTTCTTCCATAAATCTCAAAAAAAGAATTGAAAATAAGTTTCCAAGAGACAATTCAAGTTGGCTTTCATTTTCAACACAGCTGAGTACTTGTAATAGCCCACAATGCATTGCGACTCATTCATCAGTGGGTAAAGTAAACAGATAGCTAATTTACATGCAAATTTATTCTGACGTCAGAAAATCTAGTGGTCTCTACCTGTCACAAACAAGCCAACATTTACCTTTTAAAATGAAGCCAGTTTATGTTTTATAGTGTGCCGTGAAATGTTAATAAACAAGTAAACTAGAGTTACCCGCCCACTAAACAGTGCCACGCCGAATTTTCTCGATTTCAGTCATTGACCGCTTTCAGTAAGAAGGATTTATACTATATTATAGAAAATGGCCACGGTTTTGATTGCAATAGATGAGAGCCAGTTTGCAGAAAATGCCTTCAAATGTAAGTATACTTAGTCTACAGCGAAAAAAATATGCAGATGTTTACAATATTGTTTGGCATGATCTAATGATCCATGGTGCGCAACCATAATCTAATGATGGCATTTTGTCATGCAGCTGTTTAACCTAACAAAATACATGTACTCATCGAGTAGAAAAACAAAGCATGGAAAAATGTCTAAATAGGGGCCTACATAGCATTTGACACATCGAAATATTAGTATTTCATTAATACAATCTAACAGCTGTCTTCTAATTCCATGTTGAAAGTTGAAGTCGCTTTCTTGTCCTATACCTGAGTTTTATTGCAAATTGTATCCTTCATTCGGTCTTTGCTTTATTCCTTTGTATCGGTGTTTTATGTAAATTGGGTGTAGTACTGTAAGTCATTTTACGCCTCATGCATGTTAAAGACCCGATTCTGAGCAGGGGTAATATTTAAATTTGTGCACCCTGTAGTAAGTGCGTAGTTTATTTAGGTCGTAGTTTGCACGTGTTTTTGATCCAATTTGAATGATGTATGTAATTACTGATTTTTTTTTGTCTTGTCATCCACGATTCGGGATCGTATAATTTTTGCCCTGCATGTATGTCTGTTTGACCGCAAAACTTTAACCTTAGCCACTTTTGAAAAAAAAAAATGGGACTTTGACTTTCATATCTAGCACCTGTGTATTGAGACAAGACCTTTTTTTCGGGTATCACCTTATTTGACCTCGTGATGTTTATCATGGTGTTGATCTACTTTTACCAAATATTTCCAAGTGCATACATGTACGGGGGTATGTGTTTCACAAACACATCTTGTTTAAATAATGTAAAACTTGATACATTATGTAGTCGTATAGTAATTTTATTTTTCAAAGCTGTAATTAAAACAGCGATGTATGCAATCATATTGGGTTCAGTTAAGATGTCTCTTTGTCCTTCTGTTCGAATGTTTTAAAATATTGAAGTAATGGTAAAGCTATAAGAAATTGAGGTCGCTTTCATGCCAGTCATCAAACTTGCATGTTTCGTATATTTGTTGATACATGAAATTAGACATACATGTATGTCTTTGGGTAATTCAACGTAGAGATTGTATCAATTTGAGTGTGATATTTTTCACCATAAATAGATTTCGATGATGAAAAAAATACTGAAACGGAAATGGTTGTTTAGTTTCGAATAAAACGTTAGACCTACGTTTTTGTTTAAATTCTTAAACACTAAAAAATATTGATTTTACGATCATACAAGTAGTATGAAACTGCCAGTGTACTGGGACTGCACTGAGCTAGTACATGTTGTGTTGAAGACTGCTTAGGATACCTCTCTGGTGACAGAGTTTTGAAACCTTGTCTGTTTATGCTCTTAAATATTGAGACAAGACCTGAAGAATGCACACAGTTGCGGGGGATAGGCGGTAAAGGGTGTAACGTTCGCTTATACATAAGACCTGTATAAGGCAGTAGGTTAATAATGGGAGAGGTGGCATGCCACAGAAGTTGAGGAAGTGCCAGGAAGCAGCAGTACATGTAGAGTGACAGGACCAGAGAAATTCATTGCGGGAGACACCCGTTGACAACAGTTAGTGGTTGTCCAATCAAGAAGAAACCGTTTATATGTACTATAATTGTATATATTGGATTTGGTCAACAAAAATCTGAGTTAACAGGTTAACGAACCTAAGTGTAATGCCTGATGATACAAGTCATATCAACACACACCAAGTTCGGCGCGTTGCACGTTACATTATTTAGTGGCAGCGGTGGGATAACACTTGTCAGTCATCGCAAAGATTTGTAAAGATGTAAATATTGTAAATAGTTAATCATATGCGGGGCGCATATAATCTTGAGAGGAGGGTAGTGAAACGGAAATGGTTGTTTAGTTTCGTATAAAACGTTAGACCTACGTTTTTATTTAAATTCTACACTAAAAAATATTAATTTTACGATCATTACAAGAAGTAGGAAACTGCCAATATACTGGGACTGCACTGAGCTAATACATGCTGTATAAATAAATGCTCAGGATACCTCTCTGGTGACAGAGTTGTGAAACCTTGTCTGTTTATGCTCTTAAATATTGTGATAAGACCTGAATAAGGCACACAATTGCGGGGGATAGGCGGTAAAGGGTGTAACGTTCGCTTATACATAAGACCTGTATAAGGCAGTAGGTTAATAATGGGAGAGGTGGCATGCCACAGAAGTTGAGGAAGTGCCAGGAAGCAGCAGTACATGTAGAGTGACAGGACCAGAGAAATTCATTGCGGGAGACACCCGTTGACAACAGTTAGTGGTTGTCCAATCAAGAAGAAACCGTTTATATGTACTATAATTGTATATATTGGATTTGGTCAACAAAAATCTGAGTTAACAGGTTAACGAACCTAAGTGTAACGCCTGGTGATACAAGTCATATCAACACACACCAAGCTCGGCCGCGTTGCACGTTACATTACTTTGTAAAAATCCCATTGAAAATGTGTATTATTGACAACTTTTAATCTTGCTTTGAAATGCCTTTAAAATATCGTATAGGAAAAATTTTCGTATTCCTCTCGAAATAATCATTTACATGATTTTACATTTGAGGTAATGTGTGTGAAAATAATAGGAGTTGCTTTCGTTTCTTTTCAGGGTATGTAGAAAACTTTCACAAACCTGAAAACGAGGTGATTTTGTTACACGTCATTGAGAACCTTGGAATTACGGACATGAGTAAGTAAATTACTAGTATTTATTAATAATATGTGAGCCTTTCTACTCTAAACAGTCATGACGCACAGGTACCTGACGTTACTTATTTTTCTTTTATTAAAAAAAATGTACCCATATCTAATAATATTACATGTGTATTAGGTATGGGTATATATTTTTCATTAAAAGAAAAATAAGTAACGTCAGGTGCCTATGTCATGACGCTATATTTTTTTTCTGGACACTATAAAATTACAACCGTTCATATGTTGACGGTGCGACCGTTAGTGCGTGCGCAGATACTTATCCAGTTTCCATTTAGATCGGACTCGTCAAACCGCCCGTGACATTCGGTGCGTACAAGACTCTGACGTTACGACGTCGTTTGCATGTTGCTTTACCAAACCAAAGCCTGAACAAGGCTGATTTCAATCAGTTTATGACTATTTTTCTGAAATAAACAGATAACTTAATTAAATCGAGGCAAGTTTATTATTATTTTTTTAACTTTGTCGTTATTCTGGCGAGAACGTGACTTAAGCGTTTGTGTACGAAGCGATGCATTGTGGGTCAAAATTACTGCGGAAAAAAATTCTATGAAGTGAATGTGCAGTAGTCCAAATTTTCTCTTCGCCCAGGCTTTGACGTTAGAGGTCGCAGTTACGAGCGTCGCTTCGCGACGCTCGCTGCGCTCGCTATTATACACGTGTCATATTGTAATTTTCATGCGCCGGGATCGATTTATCGGGGTTGGACATGTATATTGTTTTTGCCTTGTCTGTCTGTCTCTCTGTCTGTCTACTGTCAACTTTAAACCTTCGCCGTAACTTGTGAACCGTGATAGTCTGAGAGATAAAGACATCATATTTGGTATGCTTACTCCACAAATTAAGCTTTTTCCATTAAAACCAAGATTAATGACCTTGTGACCTTGACTGTGACCTTCATGCTAAAAATAGCTTTTTCGAACTTTCGCCATAACTTTTGAACCATGAGAGATAGGGACTTCATATTTGCTATGCATACTACACTAATAAAGTTCTTTCAAATGACACCAAAGTCAATGACTTTTGAACTTGATTGTGACCTATATATGCAAAAACCTTTTTTTTCAAACTTTGTTAATTGCCGCCGTGCGCATCGTGTTTCACAAACACATCTATAACAGTTGTATTTACTAACACCCGGTAAACTAAAAAAATACAATATGACACTTTCTTTCTCCAACAAATTTGGAAACAACAAGATGTAAACATTTTAAAGTTTATAGCAACTTTATGCATGTTAGCATGTTCAGTGTGTAACAACTGTGTGTCTTTTCAGCTTTTTATGAAAATCTAGAGCGATCGAATATTAACACAGTTCGTATCTTTTATTGAATAACGGTAACAACAACAAAAACAATGTTTAATTATACCTGGCTACGGTGTAATTTCTCCTTTTGTTAACAATAAACACATTAGTATGATTTCATGAGAGACAAGAAGAAAGAGAGTAAGTTATTCTCTACAGGTCCAGCCCGGTATATGGAGTTACAGAGGGAGGCCAAACAAAAAGCCGAGGCCCTGAAGGAAAAATACGCCGCCATGTGTCAGGGACTCGGGGTAACGTATGGTTAACTTATTAAGCAAACCTGTATTATTAGTATTATTATTATATACATGTACATATATGTATTGCAATTGAATACTTTTTGTATCTGTAATAAGCATATTATTACTGACAAAAGAGAAGAAACACGTAAATAAGGTAATTTAGAGACAGTGTCTCCGATTTAGAAAAAAAAATTTAGCATTCACAGATCTGGAAAGGGGGGGGGGGGGCAAAAGAGGGGGCACTTTCAGAGGGGCAAGTGGGGCCAAACGGAGTTAAGGTATAAATTTCATTGCAAGAGCTCCAAAGCTACCTGACATATTGTCCAAGAATTAAAGTTTTACACAAGGAATGAATGAGTTTTTGTCCTTTGCACCTAAAAGTCAACTTGTGTCTTTTTCAGGCCACAGGGAGTTGTTCATATGTAAAATTTCATAGCAAATACTCAAAGGCTCCTCGAGATATAGCGCGGAAACGAAAGTGTTACAGATAGAACGACAGACGGACGGACTGACTGACTAACTAAAACACCCAAATTGATATCCCCAACTTTCAGTAAAAGCCGGGGACAAAAATATCTGTTTATTTAATGACATATATTTGAATTGCTGAAAAATATTAATCATTTTGAAAATTTAAAAAGAATATGTATTTTTAAGTGAAAAAATTGGTTAATGGGTGCTATGAGCATTTTGATTTTAGCATGTATTTTAAAGACGATGTGGCCTTGTATTGTTTCAGTTGAAAAGGGATGATTTCGTATTGTTTTACGGTTGTATGAGGGATTTTACAGCCATGTCTTATCTCACTACACATGTGACCTACTTATGGTATTCAGGCTGATGCACATTCCTAGTGTACAAAGAAAATTTCTTAAGGACAAAGCAATGTCATACTGTTTATCAATGCAAACATGGGGTTTAGAATTTTTTGTTAGATAAATGACATTTCAGATCATATTATCATTTTTAAATATTTAGATTTACCGATTACGGAATTTAATGAAACAAAAGTAGTGCTTTAAATATATATATACAATATTTTTACATATGTACTTGGTTTGGTATATGTCTCTATACTACATGTATATTTCAGCTAAAATTCTTTCGTTGTCAGTACGCAAATTCCTATGTAATTTTGCTCTTTGTATGATTTTTCTATTCTGCCTACTACATGTGTATGGTAGTTATAAACGTTTCCATGTGTTTTTTCCCGTATGTATATTTTTGTAAATATTCCCTTAAATAACATTCAGTGAATGTAAATATTTACAGATCATACTTGTCGTATACTTTGCTTAATTAAGAAATCTTTGCAGTTTCAAGCCGACATCCGAATCAAAACATCTGACAAACCGGAGCACGCCATTGTGGACATTGCTGAAAAAGAGAAGGTGACGTATATAGTTTCCGGAAGTCGAGGAATGGGCCTAATCAGACGGACAATACTGGGCAGCACCAGCGACTTCATCCTCCATCACGCCCACTGCCCAGTTCTAATCTGCAAGAGCCAGTAAATCAGAATCCATTTGTATGTAATCATCTGTATTGTAAGCTTATGTATCCAGATGTATGTAGGAGTTAAAATCTGAATTATGTGTGCTATACATGTATTTTGTTATATGGGCTAAGCATTTGGAATGCTTGAAAAGAATTAGTGTCATCTTTCAAAAAAAAGAAGAGAATGAAATTTGCATGCACACGTTTTTAATTCTTGCATAAAATGCTTTAAAAAAATAATGTTGTCATTTTATTTTACTTTATTTTATGTTATGATATGCCAAGCACAAAAACTGAAAAACTGTGCTGTTTCCTTTTAAACTATTATTTTTGAATTCAAAACTTCAAATTAAGGGAGTGGAAGTAATAGATGAGCAAGCATAGTAACATTGAGATATGGTGTTGTGAAATACAGATCTGCATCTAGATCAGATACAGAAGTTTTTGTGTTCATATACATTTACATATTAATGGATTTGTTAAAAACAAATGGTTGTTTAGACATTTCATTGTTTGGAGATATGTAAAGTACTATACATGTAGTAGTTGTTATGGCATAATATATTGACAATGTCAAATCATCATAATATTTTAGTTTAGATTTTGTGTAAACATATACCAGTATACCAAATTTATTCAGAAGCAATGAATTGATTATTTTTGAAAGTGTAAAAATACTTGATATCTTGTTAATTCAAAGAAGCCGTATAGAACTTTCACAACTTTGTCATTCCAGCATTTCAAAGGAAGTTTCAACTTTAATGTCAAAGAATTGTTTAAAAAAAATTTTTTTCAAATTGACCAAGCTTTGTGGGTTGTATGTAAACATGCAGTTTAAATGTACATTTTTTTTTTTTTGTTTTTAGTCAACTGCATTTAAATGTCAAGGACGAACTTTACATTGTTTTCTTTTTTTTCAACTTTTTTTTATATGTATGAAGAAATTGTTCTCCATCAAATATATTTACTCAATCACAATGATATTTTGTTTTTATCTAATACATTTTAATAAATGTGAACTGAATTGCCTTTTCTAAAGTGTATTTTTTTTCTTTCTATCCGACGATATATATCAAATACAAAAGATCATTACATTTACAAAAATATTTAATTCACTAGTAACAAACACAAACATGACACCTGAATGAACCTTGTGCTTTAGATAAATAGCTGGACGTTTTATGAATACGTCTACCCGACATATCGCTTTCTCTACACTCAGGATCCCGGGGACATTGATCACATGGAAGGCCCTAGACCGGACACTTAATTCTAGAAGACAGCAACTGCAATGTCTCGATTGTCCTGCAGAAGACATCGATACTTAAAGTCCCCAGCAATTGGGCCCAATTAAGGATCGTTTCTGTTAAGGACACTTTATTTTATTTCTCGTTAATCAGTTGTTGATGGAGAGATTGAATGAACAAATCATTTTCATCGAAAATAGAGTTAATCCTCTAATTCAATAAAGTAATGTTAGATGAAATTGCTTTTTCGAAGAAATGGTATAAATGACTGTTGATAATCAATATTTTGCAATATTCAATTCACGGAAATGCATTTTCTTTATTTTTGCAACTCTTGATCGAGCAATATACGAGTACATATATATGTACAAAAGTGAAGTGCTCTAAATCAGACATCTCATACCTAAAGTTTACTAGTCCAATAAAAGTTTATACAGAGTGAACCTTTGTCCTGAAACGGATAGGAAAGCATGAATAGTATAGATTTAAGTTTTTTTTAAAAGTCAGTCAACCATTAATAAATTTTTGTGCGCTTTCGAGACCATGACTGCGTGGTTTAAAGAGGCAGTTTATTATCTTTGGATTTCGACGTTAAATTTTATCTGTAAAATTCTGTGAAGTATGTTCGTCACTCCATCTGAATTTTAAAATTCAATAGTAGTTAAATTAGCTACTGTTTCGCTTAGCTTCTCTAACCCTAGAATTCCCTCTGAATGATGGCCACAACTGCGGGCAAACTGCATGCACCTGACTTTAACTTGAAAACTGGAAAATGTAAAAATATTATGCAGGATGCATGGCTAGTAATATAATAAATCGTTCCAGATGTACTTCTATATTACAAACTAATCATTTAGACAACGAAAACCTACAGTGTATTTGAGGACTTTATAGGAGATAAATGGGTTACAGGTAGTTCAGAACTGTAGCTCTCCGAAAAAAATATTTTGACAGTCTCCGGTCTATCAATAATATATATATTTTCGGAGAGCTACAGTTCTGCAGCTAGGTTACAGGGTGAAATAACTGGAGATAACGAACAGTATTCAATATCAAAGTCCATAAAACAATACAAAGACGGACCTCCGAAACATCAGATGTGGGATCAGAGATGAAGATGACAACAACGATCGATACCAACAACAATCAAATATAAATCTGTAAACATGTTATAGCACGGACCTTCCGGAAACCCCAATTGTGGATTCAGGTGCCGAGGAGGTGTAAACATCCCTTGTTGACCGGTTACGACCTCCCAGGGCCCTATGTATTGGTCAAGGATACATTTCATAGTCAATTTTAATGTAGAAACTAGGACCTTACAGTTTGTATGCAACACGTCAGCCAAAATACGACCCAGTGATAATTTGTCGAACAAGGCCACTTTATAACAACCATAGAATTTACATGTATGATATCCTGACTTTAATCGCGATTGGTAAAATCCCATTTACATCAACTGACCTCTGAGTAGTGTCTTTTATTAATTTTCAATCTGAAGTTGAAAATGAATGTAATCATTTTCAACTTCAGATTGAAAATTAATAAAAGACAGTACTGTGCTTTGGCTTAAAAAATTGATCATACTCAGGGCAAGTTCTTGAGTGTGTGGAATAAGTTGCATGGTAGAGTAAACACCATATGCAAGGAATAGGATATTACTGCATAAATACAAATGAAACGCTGGGGTCACCTCGTTTGTCTTACAATTTAGATTTAGTTGGTAGTTGACTTTACTGTCTATAATCGGTAAAACTTTTAAATAAGAAACAGATGTGACGGACTCTGGGAGATCTTTTATTTCAAGTTATTTGGATATATCGAGTTGACAACAGAATGAAAATAACTACATGTACAGTGTATTGTTAATTGATAAAACATCATCGATGTATCTGATTGTCGAATTGAAGGCTACAGCAAGTGTTTTCTTCTCGTATTAATATTTTTTTTAAAATAAATTCAGAATCGTAGGAATATTAAAAAAAGAGAAATATTGGTGTTTATCAGAAATCCAACAGTATGTTGGAAAACTTGGTCTCCGGAAAACTACATATAATTGTTGTCAAATTGAACTACAGCATTCTTTAAACATCACCTTCAGAGTTCTTATGTGTACAATCATAATGATTTTTAACGAAGTAGTTTTGTTGCTTACCAATCACTAGAATGATATAAAAACTTCCAAGTTCTCTTTTGTTGAAGATGCTGTTGTCTTAGATGATATAAAAATACTAGTTTTATTGTATTCTTCAAGGACTGGTTGAATAAAGTGTTGAAAAGTCGAATTAATTTTTGTGTGAAAATATTGATCTCAATGGTGTACCTTTCAATCAGATCAGTTTTTCTCCCGTGTGTAGCTGCATCCCTGTGTATCAATTCCTTTTTTAATTGAGGTACCGTCCAAGTGATATAGCGCGACGCCATCGTTTACATCGGATTCAAACGCACAGCTAACCACCGATAGAAATCAAGCGTCTCGCGGTGATTGTTTACCATTTTAATGTTTTTTAAAGTTCTTTAGAGTTTTTGAGGATCTACATCTGATTTAAACCACTTCTAGAATATGCTGTAGCACAGTACTCTTGAAGGAGTTTCTCCTTTTCAGCAGTTAATATTTTTGTAAGGAGTAAAGATCACGGATTTGTAGAACATTTGCTGGACCCGGCAATGTAGCTTTGTTTGTACAGATTTTTATAATTATAGTTTATTATAATTATAGTTTATTTAAGGTAGGACCAAATAGATAGGTGAAATTTTTCCTCAAATTCAATTTTTCTGAAACTTTGATATTTTGTTCTTGGATACAAAATCTCTCTTTATACATGATATGAAAGAAATTCAACCGCACATTTTTTGCCCACATAGTCTGAAATATGGCCTATCAGACCCCTGTAAGAAGATTGCAAAATCAGATATTCGACTTGAGAATGAGCCTTATTTTAGAATTTTCAATTGATCTATTGCAAATTTGTGTAATACTTTCAATAAAGATAACCTTTTTATTACTTTAAATCAGTAAGTCACATTGATACTGGAAATTTGGGTAAAATATTAAGTAAAATAGAACATACATTGTATCAGAAACTGAACATTCACATGTAAATATCCGACAGTTTATGTTTTCTTAAGAGAAAATGTATGATTCAATTTTTACAAAAAATCAACAGAATGATTCAAACGGGTCCTAGAGTAAAATGTGTAAAAATAAAGAAAATTGAACCGGTGGTTTAAGATATTTTGGCGATTAAAAAAAATTCAATGGCAAAAAAAATGAAAGATTCAGAAGATGACGTCACAATATTTGACCTTTGACCTCGTGATATGACCTTGAAATTTGTAGTACATGAAGAATGGAGACTCCTTATATATGTGTCCAAATATCTCCCCTCTACTATTTATGGAACAAAAGTTGCACTGCATTTTATAACAGACTGTTACATGCTTGTTTATTGCACTTAGATAGCGTAAACACATTCCAAAATGTCCCAAGTGACCAATATATAGGATTCTCTGATTTTTTCACAAAATATAACGCAAATATGCCAAAACTTATTATTTTTCTTTCAGGGATCATTCATTGTTGTCAATATAGTAATATTATTCTTTTTTCCTCCAGTAATTTTTAGCTCACCTCAACGAAGTTGGGGGGGGGGGGGGCTTATGTGATACCCTCGGCGTCGGCGTCCCAGGTTAAGGTTAAGTTTTTGTCTCGCCTGCGACGAATGTCGCGAAGCGAGACATAGCGACCATAGATTCCGTCGTCGTCGTCGTCGTCGGCGTCCAACTTTTGGTTAACCCAAATGTCAAAGTTTTATAAACTGCAATAACTTTCTCAAATTTTATTCAGTCTTCTTGAAATTTGGACACAATATTCAGTATGGATAAAAATTTATATCCCAAGTATGATTTTGAAAAAAAAAATTCAAATTTTTCCGTATTTTTTCCTTAAGTTGGACTTAGTTTTTTCATGATAATTTATGGTGAAGACCTATATTCCAGCAACTATAAGTTATAGGGATATGATAATTAGTCAGTGGATACATCATGGGTAACCACAAACGTCAGTACCAGAATTAGGGCATGATGATTTGTCATTGTACAGGTTATAAGTAACCAACAACATCAGTACCAGAATTAGGTCATTTTGACCTACATTTTTCTGCATGAATGACTTTGGTTAAATTGATAATGGAGGTTCATATTTCAGCAACTATAACTTATAGTGGCATGATAGTTAGTCAGTGGATACATCATGGGTAACCACAAACATCAG